CTTCCCCCGCTGTGGGACACCTGAGATACACCTGGGGACACACCTGGGGACACCTGGGGACACCTGGGATACACCTGGGGACACCTGGGGACACCTGGGGACACCTGGGACAGGTGAGGGACACACCTGGGGACACCTGGGCACACCTGGGACAGGTAAGGCACACCTGGGATACACCTGGGGACACCTGGGGACACCTGGGGACTCTTGGGGAACACCTGGGGACACCTGGGACAGGTGAGACACACCTGGACAGGTGAGGGACACACCTGGACAGGTGAGGGACATACCTGGGGAACACCTGGGGACACCTGGGGACACCTGGGGACACCTGGGACAGGTGAGGGACACACCTGGGGACACCTGGGATACACCTGGGGAACACCTGGACAGGTGAGGGACACCTGGGGACACCTGGGGACACCTGGGGACACCTGGGGACACTTGGGGAACACCTGGGACAGGTGAGACACACCTGGGTGGGGGGAGGGTCCCACCTGTCTCACCTGTCCCATCTCACCTGTCCCACCTGTGTGACGTCATCTGTCTCTCTCACCTGTGTGATGTCACCTGTCTCTCTCACCTGTCCCATCTCACCTGTCCCACCTGTGTGACCTCACCTGTGTGACGTCACCTGTCTCTCTCACCTGTCTCTCTCACCTGTCTTACCTGTCCCATCTCACCTGTGTGACCTCACCTGTGTGACGTCACCTGTCCCACCTGTGTGACGTCAGCTGTCTCACCTGTCCCACCTCACCTGTCTCACCTGTCTCTCTCACCTGTCCCACCTGTGTGACCTCACCTGTGTGACCTCACCTGTGTGACCTCACCTGTGTGACCTCACCTGTCTCTCTCACCTGTGTGACGTCACCTGTCCCACCTGTCCCACCTCACCTGTGTGACCTCACCTGTGTGACCTCACCTGTCTCTCTCACCTGTCTCACCTGTGTGACCTCATCTGTGTGACATCACCTGTCCCACCTGTGTGACGTCACCTGTCTCACCTGTCCCACCTCACCTGTGTGACCTCACCTGTCTCTCTCACCTGTCTCACCTGTGTGACCTCACCTGTGTGACCTCACCTGTGTGACCTCACCTGTGTGTGACGTCACCTGTCCCACCTGTGTGACGTCAGCTGTCTCTCTCACCTGTCCCATCTCACCTGTCCCATCTCACCTGTCCCATCTCACCTGTGTGACGTCACCTGTCTCACCTGTCCCATCTCACCTGTCCCATCTCACCTGTGTGACCTCACCTGTCTCACCTGTCTCTCTCACCTGTTCCAGCGCATTCCGGGCTCCAGGTTCCCGTCCCAGCCCAAATTTTTCGGCCAATCCCTGAGCGGCGGCCGCGACCTGAGCGGGGATCACCTGCCCGACCTGGCCGTGGGGGCGTGGGGACAGGTGCTGCTGCTCAGGTGAGTCCAGGTGACCCCGAACACACCTGAAAACACCCGAAATTCACCCGAAAACACCCAAAATTCACCTGAAAACACTCAAAATTCACCCAAAATTCACCTGAACTCACCTGAGTCACCCCAAACCCCCACGGGGACAGGTGCTGCTGCTCAGGTGACTCCAGGTGACCTCGAACACACCTGAAAACACCTGAAAACCCCCAAAATTCACCTGAAAACACCCAAAATTCACCTGAAAACACCCAAAATTCACCTGGAACCGCCCAAAATTCACCTGGAACCACCCAAAATTCACCCAAAATTCACCTGAACTCACCTGAGTCCCCATGGGGACAGGTGCTGCTGCTCAGGTGAGTCCAGGTGACCCCAAAAACACCTGAAAATACCTGAAATTCACCTGAAAACACCCAAAATTCACCTGAAAACATCCAAAATTCACCTGGAACTCACCTGAGTCACCCCAAACCCCCACGGGGACAGGTGCTGCTGCTCAGGTGAGTCCAGGTGACCCCGGAAACACCTGAAAACACCCGAAATTCACCTGAAAACACCCAAAATTCACCCAAAAACACCCAAAATTCACCTGGAAACACCCAAAATTCACCTGGAACCGCCCAAAATTCACCTGAACTCACCTGAGTCACCCCAAACCCCCACGGGGACAGGTGCTGCTGCTCAGGTGAGTCCAGGTGACCCTGAAACACCTGAAAATACCTGAAAACACCCAAAATTCACCCAAAATTCACCCAAAATACACCTGGAACCCCTCCAGGTGTCCCCAGGTGTGTCCAGGTCTATCCCAGGTTTCCCCAGGTGTGCCCAGGTGTGTCCCCAGGTGTCCCCAGGTGTGTCCCAGGTGTATCTCAGGTGTCCCCAGGTGTCCCCACGTG